ACGGAATTATGCATTAATTAAATAAAAAAGCCAACAACACACACATAAAAAAAATGAAAAAATGAAAAACTAAAAAAATCCTTTCTTCACTTGCAGCCCCCTAGATGCTTGGCAGGATAAGAACTTCATAGCTGAACACCAAGGAGCAACAACAGTGAGCCTGATGTCACCAGACCAGCAGCACAGGCCCATCACAGTGGGTTGGAATCTCCCCACACATGGGATGTGGGTGAACACGGGAGATGAAAGCATAGAAGACGACCTGGGCTTCTTCACAACTACCTCCCAGCTACAGCTTTCTCCCAGCTACCCTCACCTTCTACAAGTCTTCCTCACTGCAGATGCCACTCCTGTGGCACCCTCTGTACTACAGAGCTGATGGTTCAAACACTATTAACCATGCCTCATAGGAAGGACACAACAACTTATCTTCTATAACTTCCCATGGAAACTGTAGGAAACAAAATACACATTAGTAGCATAACTGTCTAAAAATACATGCTAAAAATACAGGAAATCCAAATTTAAGATCACAAAGGAAATATTTGTTCTGTGTATGTACATGCATCATACTACTACAACTGCGTGCACACATTTTCTCCTGAAAAGCTTGGTGTTATTCAGTGACTAGGACAAATGTATGAGGAGATGCAATAATAGCCACTTGTGCAACAGAAACCTGGAACTTGCCAGTGTTTTACTTCTATCCATTTGCAGTATGAACACCATGAATGGGTCTCCTTGTATAAAAAAAGATTTTAAATACTAACTCCAGGAAAAAAATTATTGGAATACAATGTATTAGTGCGTTGCTGTATCGTTCTATCCATTAACACTATAAACTTGTTTTTAAAAAGAACAGATTATAAATTAAAACTGAAAAAGAAAAATGAAAGCCACTTTTTTGCAACTAAAATGCATGTTTGTGTTATGAATCAGTCCATTTATCACTAAAATGTTCAAAGTTTAAGTTTTCTGCCTCTTTACAGTAGTCATGATGACTATAGAATTGCATTTGGCAGAGATTGTGTCCTTTTAAACAGTTTCTCACAACCTTCCTGCATGCTGCATACTTTCATATAACCATGCCATTCAGAAGTGGGACAATCTTTTTAACACCCAAGCTAAGGGTTTTTTTCATTTTGCACCATCTTGCATCAACATCCTAGGAACATTTATCAGTGCATGACAATGTTAAATATGCATGAAAGAAGCAATAAATAAGCAAAAACTAGTTAATGCCAGGTACTTCTCCATGTTGTCAGATACCTGCCATCATTTTGTGCTTGGATTCAGAAGCCGTGTATGTGTGCACTGACAAACCACTAAACCAAAATCAGAATTTTATCCTCAAAAATGCTATCAACTAATTCCAACATAACAAAAGCAAAAGCAGGCAGAAAAAAATATTTGGATGCACATGGTTTTGCACATGTACAAGGAGTACTGAAATACACCTTTATTTACAAGTGACATTAATGTAACAGATTTGTCTTGTACACATGTAATGTACCAGCCAAGTCCAACGGGATAGATAAACCCAGTAGCTGGCACTAGGCAACTTTTATGCATCCTAAGTTAGTAAGCACAAAGACTCATCCACTGAACTTACAACAAAGAAAACCATTGACTGAGACAAAGAGCAACAACACTCACACAAACCTTGCCTTCCCCACTTGCCCATCACTCTTATTTGGGGATGCACTCATTGCACGTACAAACCAGTTCGGTTCTTGCCAACCTTGCAGTGTGTAACACTGTCTGTTCACTACACACAAAAATTCCAACTTATCATTGCACATTTAGTGACAGAATGCCATAGTCTTGGCAACCTAAGAAACTCCTGAAGTGAAGCATTTGACTTGTCAACTAATTCACTATCGTATTATAAAATACAAGAAAAGAAGGCACTGCAGAGTTTATGCTCCCACAGACTCCAGCTCACATTTGCTCAGTTTAGAATTAAACAATTTTCTACCTGACTTAAAGGCCTATACAACCAAATATTGAAAACAACCTCTCCTTCTCACTTCTGGGCAATAATAAAGATTGTTGAGCAACATTCCCAGATAGGTCCATGGATTAGCTGGGTTATTCAAGTGATGAGACAAGGTTAAAATTATCAGGTACTGAAATTATGAGCAAGGACAACATTTGTCCTCCCCTTGTTACTGGAATTGTTGAACAGAGGGCAGTAGGGGAAAACTTGCAGCTACTTGTGATTTTGCTGGGGGCAAGAGACAATACTACAGGCAGTTCTGTAAAGCTTTGTCCATATTAGGATCACTGCCTCTATAAAACTACTCTGTAAAACTGTTTCTACTGCTACTCAGACAAGACTCCATTAGCCTGCATCTGAACTTAAGGTCTCAGCTGAACTTCAAACACTGGAGCTATGAAAAACTTTTCACTTTCCCTGTGCCTGAAACACCCGATCTGCCATCTGTGTCATTTCTTTTTAGAATAGACGCAGTATGTAATGCAAGCTGCAAAAACAAATGCCTTGTTGTATACTTTAGCAATACATCCTCAGTGTCTTTGCAAACTAGTCCAACAAAGAATCCTAGTTTTTTCAAACTCTTTAGCTATCTGCATCCCCCCGTGACTCCAGTAGCATCAAAATTGCTAAGGACCCTGTGGGAACTTATCCCATGGTTCTGCATGGTACATCTTTAAAACTACTTTTTTTTGTTGATATTTTAATACAAATTATACCTCACAGACTGGAAACCATGCACTATATTAATCCTTCTTTGCTTAGCTTACTCTACGAGCGTTTCTAAGATTTGTGTCAACAAACACAAAATTTGTGATCACAGTTCATGGTATAGCTAAAAATGGCAATTTTAAAAGACCTAAAAGAAACGTGTTCTATAAAGTTTATGATATTGGCAACTCTGAATGAATTCAGCATATCCAAACCAAAATCTAAGCAGTCTGGATACAAAACTTTTAATCACTCAAGCACATCAGTGATATTTAGTGATGCTGTGGTAGCATTTTTGTGTTTACAGCCACCTAAGTAGCCTTTTTCCTCATCAACTGTCTCTTTCTCGTGAACCCATCCATGTCTGCATCTCTGCCTTGCTCTCATCTCAGAACTCAGCTTTCCAGAGATTCAGTGAAGTTCTGCAATTGTGGACTAGCAAGACAGGTTTTTTCCACTGTTACTCAGACTTCAAGGAAGAAGCATCATTCTGTGAAGAAAATAGCGGAAAAACAAGTCTGTTTAACACTATTTTGGCATTAATTTAAATCTACTCTTTGCATCACATAAAACAGTACCAAGTATACCCACAACTTATCCTACAGCTCTTTTATCACAAGCGTGCTCAATAAGACTGGTGTATTTCAGCTATTTAGTTCATTTCTAATCCTGATTTTAACCCAGTACCCTTCAGTCATTTAAAGAAGGCCTTTTACCACTTTTTGAGATTGGGGGTAGATTTGTAAGTGCACATATGCACACACACAGAGAGCACTGCTTACCAACCTGCAAGGCTGCAAGTTCTCCATCTGCATCTCCTGAGGAGAACTAAAAGCTCTAATTCCTTATGACATCACCTCTATTCTAGTAGCAAGAGAATGGTTCCCACAGGATCACTCTACAACTGTCCTGATCACAGGACAACTCTCAAATGAGTTTGGGACTGGCTGCAGAAGGGAGATTCCCCGTTACCCCTGTACAAGCACACGTGTAGGTGCTTCATCACGGTCGCTGGCACTACCAGCCTGGGTACTATGATGAAAAGCCCCTTTTCTAAGGCGTATTAATATACAGAACTACTTCTCATTGACAAAGAGTAACTGTAAGAAACCTCAGCATACCAAAAGAACTACAGATTTTGAGTCGTCTTCAATTGCTTGCAACTCTTTCACATATCCACAAACGCCAGAATTATCAGTAGTTCCCATTTGTAAAGTACCACCATCCCTCTTTACGCCTCTGAACTGGGGCAGAGAAGCTACATACAGGGTCTTGGAAACCTACTTGCAGTTCTTCATCACACTAGGAATGCAAAGGGTGGAGAAAAAAAAAAAAAAAGAGCCCAAATAAAATTATACTCTTTATTCATTCCATTTTAGCTGTGAATATTCCTATTATACAAATACAGTATAAATTCCAAAATCACAATATATTACAAAATAAAAAAAAGTACAAACTGCATTACTTAATAAATATATCTAACAAGTTAATCAGAAAGTAGAAGAGACAGAATTCAGATTGGAAACATTTAAACGTTTGACCCAGCAAACCATACAAACCTCAGTTTACATAGTTCTTTTTTCTTTTTAACCATAATGCAGAATACCATTCCCCATTTCTTGATTAGAAAATAATGACAAGTGAATAAAATGTTGTGATCAGATAATGATTTGCTGGTGCAACACCAGTGCCAAGAACTAAGCAGGGCTTATACAAAACACACCATAACCCCAGAAACAAGAGCACAAACACCAAGGTGTGGCCGAGGCAATTACTGCCAAAGCAGGAGACTATTATCTAGTCACAACATTCTATTGCAAGTTAATGTTCTGTTATTACAGATAAATAATATAAACAGAGCAGAGGGCCAGCCAACCAGGAAACAAGAGGCCAGTTTACTCAAAACAGTAATTAAATACAGAAGAGTCAATTGCTCCCTGTACTGTTCATGTGTAGCTGCATTCCAGCTGGCTCAAAGGACCTCTTCCGTGCTCCAGGCAGAGAAAGCAACTGTTCTGAGAAGCAGCCCGTTCATACTTTGCTGCACTTTTACAAAAAAACATTGTTTCAGTTTTGCAAGAAAACACCCAAAGTGCTTTCATCTATTAGGGAGGGTCAGTTTGACATCAGCTTCATTTGGTAAAAATATAAGGTTTATGGGTAAAAAAACACAGCAAAAAATAGCTGTTACATCATAAGCCTTATTTACAAAAAATGTTTACAAACATTTTTGGCTGTACAGCTGAAAGCCAGATACTAATGTCAGATGTCAAAGATGGAGGTAACGGTTTAAAAATATTGTGCAAAAAATACATTCTTATAGAAAAGAGAAAGACAGAGGGGAGGGGAAACAAAAACCACAAGGAGAATCTGCTTGCAAATAATCCGAGGCTAAATTTTTACAATAGACTATTACACACACGCTTGTATTTATCCCCCACCATCTACAGTCCTCCTCAGTCTGGGGTGCTGCTGCTTCATTAAGGATTAAGGCATCACCATCACAGCCAGCACACCTTCTGTCTCAGTCTCTGCAGCAAAGCTCCCCGCCTGCGACCCTGGCGCTCTCAAGAGCAGGCGTTCTGTTCAATGTACATCTTGGACAAGGACACCGCCATGGACTTGGCCAGCTCCTCATCCCGCCTGCGCTGTACCTGAGTCTGTCTGCACCACGCCTCGTACTCCGGGTTGGGGCACACACGGTCCAGCACGGCATCGTAGTGCCCGTTGCTAAGCCAGCTCAGCCAGATGCTGGGCCGCGTCGGGTCCTCGGGCCCCAGGTAGTGAACCATGGTGGAAACGGTGGGGCTCTCAGGCCGTCCGCCCGTGGTGAGATGGATGTTCACGTTCAGCATTTGCCCCATGGCCAGCAGCTCCGGGTAGCCGGCCCAGGCCCCGTCCTGGGCGGCGCCGATGAGGAACTCTCCCACATCGCCCTCGATGATGGGGTTGAAGTGGTCCAGGTGGTCGGCGATGTAGTGCACGTTCTGCTCGCGGAGCTCGCCGTGCAGCCGCTGGTCCCCGTACACCGCCCTGCAGACTGCGCGGTACAAGCAGTTCCCGTCGGGGATGATGTGGAAGCGGAACCGGCCCTTCTGCCGCAGGTACTTGTCCTGCTTCTCCACCTCGGCCAGGTACAGCGCCAGCTT